CAAGGACAGTATCCTAAGCTGCGTACCTACTGTAGTCATCGGGTTTGTTGCGCCCGGTGGGCAATCAATCCCCTAAATCCGAAACCCTAAACCCTAAACCCAAAATCCTAAACCCTAAACCCTCAACCCAAAATCCTAAACCCTAAACCCTTAATCCAGGAAGTATCGGGCTCTCTGGGAGTGAGTCCCTGGAGCCTCAAAGACCCCAAGCCAGCGAACTCCGAAGCTTTAAACTGCGAGAGGCCCCGCCCAAAAAAAAACCTCATTCCCAAACCCTAAAGGGTTTAGGGTTTAGGGTTTAGGGCTTAAGGTTTAGGGTTTAAGGTTTAGGGTTTAGGGTTTAGGGTTTAGGGTTTAGGGTTTAGGGGTTAATAACTGTCCAAATCCTCGGATTCGCACGTCCACTTACAAGCCGTACTAGTAAACCCTGCAAAAACCTTAAGGTACCATGAACTTTCCAAAACCCCGTTATATTGCTTGAGGCCCCAGTATTACCTAGGACCTAGGAGTATCTTTCAACCGTCCCCTCACAACGCCCATGTGGAACCCCTTAAGCAGTTTAGGGTTCAGGATTTAGGCCCGGTGCACATGCTAAGTGTTATGCTGCGGCCATGAAGGGCGATCATGCCCTGACAAACCCCCCCTTACGAGGCTACGAGAATAATGGTAGTGTATGGCAATCCCTAAACCCTTACACGTAACCTTGCTAGTAACCATGATAGTAAAACTCATGAAACGCATGATTTTGAATCCGTCCCTAGCCGTAAACCCTTAACCATAAGAACCGAAACCCTATACCGCAACCCCAAAAACCTAAACCCGAAACCCAAAACTCCAGAGATCTACCCTAAACCCTAAACCCTAAACCCCTAAACCCTAAAACACTAAACCCTAAACCCTAAACCCCGAAACCCCCAAAACCCTAAAACCCTAAACCCTAAACCCCTAAACCCTAAAGCACTGGGGTCCTCAGAATCGAACAGCTCCAGGAGCTTCAGCATGAAATTCTGATCGACGAAGCGCTTGGCCTTCCGAGTTTAGGGTTTAGGGTTTAGGGTTTAGAGTTCTCTGGGCTTCTCTGGGGTTGGGTACATAAAGGTGTCTTAGAAGAGTTCTACAGGGGTTCTAGAAGAGTTTTCGGCGATTTCTATAAGGATTCTACAAAAGATTTCGGTTGAGGAAGCTTTATTGTTTGGGGTGTAGGGTTGAGGTTTAGGGACTAATGTTTAGGGGTTTCGGCCTTTTTACTGTTGATGATATAAATCCTGCATCACCTTAAGGACCCCAAACGATGGGAATAATGGTATATTATTCCTTATTATGGGTAATGCAGGGTGTATATCATCAACCGTAGTTTGGATTATTGGGGTTTTGGTTTAAGCTGCTGTCGGGTTTTGGGGCTTGGGCTTATGAAAGATCCAGGGTACTGCAGAGCAGGATCTGGTCGGTACCAAATACTCAGCTGCAAGAGGCTATGCTATGCTAAAAGTAAAGAAACCAGTTTCTAAGTGCCGTGCTATAGCTAATCTAAGGACTATTTAAGCACAGAAGACGAATGCAGAACTCCCAGCCACAACTTTTGGGCGCTTTTCGATCGAACCGAAGTGCCGCAATCCATCTAGGGCCCCAAAAAAGCACATAAGCAAAAATTAGGATAGGGATATCCCATATACACCCCCTTATAATGAAGCCCAATAAGGTAGGGATATCACTATAAATTGCTTATGCTTATGTGCTTTTGGGGTTCTTAACCATCAGGGTTTTGTAAGGGACCTGGAGCCTAGCAGGAACCCCCCGCGGACATCGTGCATGGGCGGTCTGAAAGAAAGACTCCAGCGAAAGCAGGTGAGGAACGATGGTGATGCCCATAGTGACAATGATGATGATGATGATGATGATGTTGCTGATGATGATACTGATTATGGCACTGAGCGGAGGACACTGATGATTCTGGTAATGGTAGCGTTATGAATTCCCAGTGCTGCTGCTGAAGAGGACGCATATTACCATCGTCAACACCACCGCTAGCATTATTATCGTCGCCATCCTGATAATGACCCCTTCGATGATGAAGAGCAGCATCAAAAGGGCGTGACCGATGATGTTGACGATGATGGTTGTGCGAATATGACGATGGCGACGAGTGTCACACAAATCACGGCGACAGCGAAGATCAAGATGAACAGGGATGATGACGGTGATGATGATGTTCGCCGTCATCGTAATAGTCTTCTACCTTTCGGTTGCTACTCTTGCGAGTAAGTTGGAGAATATATTTCACATTTGCCGAAATCCGTGAGGGCAGTTGTGCTCCACCTGTGCTTTGCGTGTGCGACTCCATGCATCTGACTGTGAATGTGGATTGCAGCCGAGGCTGTCGCGATTTTGGGATCCACGTCATTGGACACAACGAACCGCAAGAAAAACTCGTACACGATCTGCCTCAGCTCTATACACGGGATCAGGTCCTAGCCAGGACACTCAGTGAACCCTGCAATATAGCGGCCTCAATATTCAGACTAGGGCTTTGGGGCCCACTATGCCGCAATTATAGCAAGGACCCCCCCAAAAAAAAACAACCATAGTATTGGCAATTATCTAGGTCCCTGCATTACGCCCTGAGCTCCAACTAGAGGCATCGAAGTTTTCCTGCTTGTTCCATGACTTGGTCGAAGGACAGATCTTGGCATGACACACCTCAACCCGAAAATGCGCTTGAATGCTACGTAAAGTCATATATACCTGCAGTACGAGTGGCCGAGTAAACTCTCAATCCGCGCACCCTGAAACCTTACTCTATACCCATAGGCCCCTTAGTAGTTCCTTTTTGGGATTACCTTATAGGATTCTAAATATGAACCCCCAAAAGGAACTACTATGGGGCCTCTGGGTAGGGCCTTAATATTCGGATCCAGCTTCAAACCCTAAACCCTAAACCCTAAACCCTAAACCCCATGAACCTGCGTAAAACTCGAAGCGTGGGCCCTCGGGCTCTCAGCGGATTTAGGCTTCGCTCAAGCAGGTCGGCATTACCTGAGGTCCTTCAATGTTTAGGGCTTAGGGTTTAGGGTTTAGGGTTTAGGGTTTAGGGTTTAGGGTTTAGGGTTTAGGGTTTAGGGCTTAGGGTTTAGGGTTTAGGGTTTAGGGTTTAGGTACTAAGACCTAGCTCTTAAAAGTATTAAGACCTAGCAACAGTCATGATGTAGCCTGTTCATGAGTGATGCCCCCCTTTTCGGGTTTGGGTGCATGCCTACTTCTCCCGTTTTCAGGTCGTCTGCCCGTGCCAATGCCAACACCCATAGCCGCCCAAACCCTGAACTCTAAAGCCCTAAAAGCCAGGGTTTTAGGGTCTAAGGTTTAGGGAATAATTAGCAACAATACCCTTTAAAACTTGACATGGCCTCTGAGAGAACCATAAACCCTAAACCACGATGGAATACCCCTAAACCCTAAACCCTACACCACGATGGAATACCCATAATTAAACCCTAAACACTAAACCACGATGGAATACCCCTACACCCTAAACCCTAAACCCCGATGGAACTAAACCACGATGGAATACCCCTAAACCCTAAACCCTAAACCACGATAGAATACTCCTAAACCCTAAACCACGATGTTAAACCCCTAAACCCTAAACCACGACGGAAAACCCCAAAGCTCTAGGGCCTGAAACCTAGAACCTGAGGCGACTGCAGATGGGGCCAGGCGCGCTCCAGACTTGGTTCATCCTGGGTTCAGGGTTTAGGGGTTTAGGGTTTAGGGGTTTAGGGTTTAGGGGTTTGGGGTTTAGGGGTTTAGGGGTGTGGGGTTTAGGGGTTTCGGGATTTTGTGAGTTCAGGGCTTCTGGGGTTAAGTGGTTTCGGGGCTTTGAGGGTTTAGGGCCTACAATGTTTCAGGCTACACTACTTGCTCCTTGCTTTCTGAAACTCTCATGTAGGGATCTATCGTGAAGTAGCCATGAACAATTCGATCCGCGTTCCCATGTACAACCACGCGACAGAATCCGGGTCTTTTTTCTATACATGCTTGTAGCTCATCCCTATTGCAGGGTGCTTCGGCTGCAAAGGCTTTGGGGCTCTCTGGCCCCTGGAGCTGTACTGCCACTCACGATGACAAAGTTCCGGCGGGGTATAACCAGGAATGATCAGCCTACAGAACACAAGGGCCTATCGCTCAGTCCCGTATCAAAAAGTTCAGGGATAACTTTGAACTATAGGAACCCTAAACCCTAAACCCCTAAACCCGAAACCCCCCCACAACCCTAAACCCAAACCCCTAAACCCGAAACCCCCCCAAAACCCTAAACCCCCAAACCCGAACCCCCCCCAAAAAACCCTAAAACCTAAATTCGAAACTTTTGCAAAACCCTAAACCCTAAACCCCTAAACCCGAAACCCCCCATAAACCCCTATAACCCGAAACCGCCAAAAAAAAAACCTAAAGCATAAAACCTCTATAACCCTAAACCCTACACCCTAAACCCCTATAACCC